GGGCTCTCTGCCATTTTTGTTTCAGCGGTTTTTCCCCTGTTTTGTGGTCAGACGGGGAGCTCAGCCATTGTAGTTGTAGTTTTTGTTTTTTGTATAGACAGTGTGGCCTCAGTTGTTTTTTTTTTTTGTTGTTGTTTTGGCCTTGGAGACAATGACGTCTAGAGGTCCACTGTGTTTTATTCTGGTCCTAATTGGTTAATGACATTAACTTTGTTGTTTGTTAATTTATTTCAAACATGTAAACAACAGGTACATTTAGTAAAGAAAATGGACCTGTATATCTGTTGACTGGGACTCCTCAAACCTGCCTGATGCACAGCCACAGTTCAAATAAGATGTCAAGGAAGAGCCAACCCCAAATTTGTCGGGTTAAAGTTTCAACGATGGAGCAATAATATGAGATGATTTGAGATGTGAATACCACTGCTGCAGTCAAGAAAGAAGAGCCATGATTTAAAAGATATGAATTAAGACAGGCATTTCTACTGGGGAATGCAGTGGGGTTAATCCTTTACCTATCACTCTTTATGCCAGCCTCCACTCAGTATTATTAAGACACAGAATGAGCATGAATAAATCTTTATTATCTGTTCTTATAACACTGCCAGTACTATGCAACAGCAGCACATAACTTCTAATAAAAAAAACAATGTGGTGTTAATTGTTGAATAAATGTTGTCACTTGAATAAAAATCATGTCTCATAAAATTAAAAAAATCAGTCACTTGGTCTGTTTACAGATGTTATATGGCTACTAACGGACTGAACCTTTATTTAAATCTGGCCTGGACAATACAGGATATCGAACTGTTGTGTTTTTTTTTTGAAGAGGGTTAAAAGTTGAGTCACAAGATATCAGTTTTCATCATTATCATTTGTCAGTTCATTAAAAACACTTCAACAACAATAAACTACTTCTGCTCCCAGCATTACTTCTAGTATGACCATTGAACTGAAACCTCTTAGAAATCAATCACTTAACAGGAGGTTGAGATCAAATCATGTTTACATTACTAATATCAAATGGAAATCTTGAGCGCCTCTCACTACTTGTTTCCAGTTGAATGGAACAGAAACAATTAGAATAAAAACTCACACTAGATGTCAGAGTTGTGCTCCAGCATTAACAGATGCTGGTCTACAATATAAGGACAGGAAGACAGCAGGAAGAAGTGTTATCCCATAAAATGCAGAGCTTCAGTTATTAAATAGGTCAAATGTTTAGTCAAATAGAAAAGGCTGATGCAAGTCTGCTTTCATTTGTGCTGTGAAACATGCCAAAGTGCATGCAGGGTGAAAACAAAGTTTATTATAAATATGACTGCCATAAAAAAGGGGGGAGAAATAATAAAACATAAATTGTCTAATTTTTTACACAGTCCTTCTAATCTTTGCTTAATATTTTGTAAGCCACACTTTTAGGTCTCTGAAGAAACCACAGCATCAACACCTCACCTTAACTGATAAGGTAACTTTGTGCAATCTTTAGCAATTCAAAACAACAGCTCTGTAAACCCTGATGAATGTACCAGTTCAATGACGTTACTGCCCTGTATTAACCTGTAACACATACACTGACGTATACGGTTTGCTGTCTGATATGATTTTATATCAGAACTTTATTTTTATTGAACATAAAGCAGATAAAGGTGTTCAGAGTCATTTAGAGTTTAGTAAGTTTAGGAGTTGTTTCCTCTCCACTATCAGCACTGTTTGCAGCACCTGTAGCAGAGTAGCATTACAGTACAGTAGGTCATGGTGACTCAGTAGTGTCTTAGGAGTAATAAGCTTTTGTAAGGCGTTACTGGAAAGTTTTGAATGAAATCCCCCCAAATGACCCTTTTCAGCATCATAAACGAGCTGTACGTATACACTTTTTGCTACATTTAGGAAGTCACTTTTATTTTATTTTGAGTTACTGAATGTGATCTATTTAACTGAATTCTTTTCAGCTTTCTACTGTATTGTTGTTCTTTTATTGTATTTAGGGGATTGACAGAACTAGAAATGAGTACATCAAAGGTTGAGAGGTTTGGAGACAAAGTTAGAAAGGTAATGCTGAGAGGGTTTGGACATGTAGAGCAGGGACCGTGGAGAAAGGATGATGATGATGGAGCTGAAAGGTAAGTGGAAAAAGAAAAACCCAGAGAAGTTTTATGGATGGACAGGGAGATTGTTGGTGTGACCCTAAAGCAGGGGTAAGGAACTCCAGGCCTCAAGAGCCGGTGTCCTGCAGGTTTTAAATTTGTCCTTGATCCAACACTGCTGATTAAATGGCTAAATGAGCTCCTCAACATGTCTTGAAGTTCTCCAGAGGCCTGGTAATGAACTAATCATTTTCAGATTCAGGTGTGGTGACCCAGGGTGAGATCTAAAACCTGCAGGACACCGGCTCTCTCCCTACCCCTGACCTAGAGGCTAAGAATGTGGAGGATGATGTGCTGTGGTAACCCCCGAAAGTGAACACCCAAAAGAAGGAGAAATATTAATAATTTTACCTGTTGAGCTAAATTGAGCTCATTTGTTTTCTCTTTAATTGGGCTATTTTGTTGAGCTAAATTAATTCATTCAAGCTATTTTGTCACAGGTGTTTTACTGTTTTGGCTCCAGCAGCTGTCAGTATCAGTTATCTTGTAAATTATTTCGGCTCTAAAAAAATCTACTTTCATGTGTAGATTATGTTGAAGAATATCAGAAATGTGCTATTGTGTTTATTATAGAGCTCATCATGATAAAAATGTTCTCGTCCATCATATTACAATACAAAAGAATTCATATATTAAGCAAACCCTCAATATTTTAGACAGAAAGTAGGCTTTACATTCAGAGAGTTGAACTGAATCGAATTAAGATTGGACAGGTGTACCTAATAAAGTGACCACAAAGAAAACGCAATCTCTCATGAAGGTAGATGCTGGCTTCACTTCATGAGATCACAACCCACAAAGATTAGAAACTACCGACTTAAGTCTTATAATTATTTCCCTCTTACGTACAAACACCATCAAAAGAAATCTGCAGTGGTTAGTGACAAAGACAGATATAAAACTAAAGTAAAATTCATGTTTTAAAGACTTTTCAGTCTTAACAGTCTAAAAATGAAAAAAAGAGACTTGCAAGTAAGTATGCAGAGGTCCTGACACAACTCAGAACCAAATGTTCACCAACACTTAAAATGAACAGAGAATAACAATAATAAAAATAAAAAAATAATGCGTTTTCTAATTTGAGACTTAAACAACGCCAACTATTCATCCTAAAGGCATCTGATGGAGGGTAAAGAGAGTTAAAGCACTTTAAAGAAAATCAAACAGTAAATACAGTCATGGGTGTTTTTCACTTTACATAATTTCACTGATTAAGAGACAATTTGTGTTAAATGGTTCATTTATCCAGCTCTATGGGAGTGCAGAAGAAATGAGAGAAACAAGAACTAAACACATTTATACATTCAAAATAAATTTGTAAAGAAATATGCACATTTATAGGAAAACATCACAGAACTGATTGACGTGACAATTTCCCACTGTAGGAGATACAAAACACAGAGTACGTAAACATTAGGCTACATGCTGTCGGTTAAATAAGAGTGAATATCCTTCATGTTACATGACAGTTAGCTTCCATTCATCACACCCCAGTCAGCTGCATTTATGTCAGTGGAGGAGAGCTGGGAGGATGCATGCACTCTGACTGAAGGTCTGCACAACATAATCAAATGTGACATAAAAATGTGAAATAAAGAAGAGACAAAATAGTTGTTTTTAACATTTACTGATGTTTTTCTTTTTTTTTGGTATAGGTGACCATACACTGTGTTGCTGGGAGCGGCCAGCCCAGGTTTCAATCCGACCTCTTTCTCTCCCTCCACTTTCCTGTCACTCTTCACTGCACTTATCTAATAAAGCCAATAAAGCAACACACGCATAACTTGAGTTAAGATTATTTTTAACTGCTGACGCTGAACCAGATTTTGGCAAATAAAGGATTCTTACATTTCAACAAAAATAAAAGAACAAAAAATCACGTCATGTCACTCACGGGTTAATTTCTACGCAAACAAATTAAACTATGTTTGTTTCTGTTTCTTGGTACATAACAAATTTTCTAAGGTTTCCGACTTCACAGGTTACAGCAAATAATCCTACACGAACAGAGCTTTAATTAACCGGGGGTACATCCTGTAGCTACCTCCACTAAGGAGGCTGTGTGCTTGGTTAATTTGTCAGTTTGTTCACAGGATTAAGGAAAATGTTACTGATTTTATGCGCATGAAATCTTTACCAGAGGTTTAGAAGTGATTATAGCGAAAAACTGGACGTTTTGTGCCATATATTCACTAATATCAAAAGAAAAATAAGAAAATAAATGTTTAATATGGCCTTCAAGTTCTCAAGAAATTATCAGAACATTATCAGGATCAAGAGATTCAGTTTAGGAGGGAATTTCCAGCTGTGTTGGTGATACGTGGTTTCAGACTGCTCATTATATTCTGTAACTGATGGATATGAGTTGCAGTCATACAATGGACACGATTACTTGCCTAAGCTGTTTTGCACTTAATAAGAACAGTACTGATGTTTCCAGTACACTTTAGGAAATAAAGTGTTGGTTGATACAATGTTATTTTCATTTCTTTCCTTTTACATTAGATTTGCTTCAATGCTACTTATATGTCACATGTACATGCCCAAAAGTCTGTAAACTGGCAGCAGGTTTCACTTAAGAATGGCAACTAAATACAAAATTATATAAAAAAAATCTGAAATGAAAACAACATCAGACAGACAGAAGAATCCAAGCCAGTGAACAGTGATCCTGTCATTTCCAACATTACTTCACCAAGGATGGTGATCAGTCATAATTAAAAGTGATGAGTAGTATGAAGTCATACTAATCATACTCGAGAGGCACAGAATGTCTTCAGAGAGTGTGACTAGACAAGTACAAGTAAACACTCCACCTGGCAGTCTCTGTTCAGGTTAACCTCTGTCAGTGCGCCCCAGGGCAGCTGTGGCTACAATGTAGCCATCACCAGTGTGTGAATGTGTGTGTGAATGGATGGATGACTGAATGTAGTGTAAAGCGCTTTGGGGTCCATAGGGACTGAGTAAAGCGCGATACAAATACAGGCCATTTACCATTTAAATCAAAACATGAAAGACAAGAAGAGTTTTATGAAACCTTTTAAAACAATAAGACAATTAAAGTTGGTGGAAACAATCTGTTACAGATAAACACGATAAACTACATTTCTCAAGGTTATACAACGACAACCATTTCAAGACAGAAACAGCCTCTGGACACGAGCAGTCTGAGCTTTCCACGCTCACAGCTTGAGAGCTTGTCTTCAAGGCATCCACCGTCACTTCCGAAAGGTTAGTGGATTTAATTGTCTCAGCTGCCGTCTCACAGGTTTGTCTTGTGGAAAACTTATGCAGACGTTTTTCTCGCTTCACCGTTTTTTCTCTACTTCCATTCAAATCAGCTGCAGACATTTGAAATGTGAAGGAAAGTGTGTTTTTTTAGGTCTTTTTAAATGTTTCTCTGTCGCTTTCCAGCCTCAGCGAAAGGCCCATGATGCCCGGTCGTTTCAGGCTCCACTGGTCAATCTGTCTCTGCCGCTCCTGCTGCTCGACCTCCGATTCGCTCGATGAGCTGCCGGTATTGCTGCTGCTACTGCTACTGCTGCTGCTGCGCCCACAACCTCCGCCTCTGCTGCTACCGCCGAAAGTGAAGCAATCCTTCTGCTTCCTATCAGCCTTCCCCCTCTCCCCTACATCTACTCCTTTTTCCTCCTTCCCTCTCCTTGTATCCTTCACCATCCCACCACTGTCCTCCTCAGGTTTGTCAGCCATTTCCATTTCGATCGGGGCCTGCTCCGGCCCCAGCACGGCTCCTCTGTGGTCCATATCGACCCACACTGGCCCCGGAGGAGGCTCCAAACTGGTGTACTGGAGCATCGGCTGTTGGGGCTGGGGGTCCACTTGTGGAGGAAGGTTCTGCCTCTCTGGATGGAGGTACTGAGTTTGGTGTTGGAGGTGATGCAGCGGCTGAAGTGGGTGCTGCAGAGGCTGGTGCTGGAGCTGGTGGTGCTGCTGCTGCTGATGGTGGTGATGTGAGTGTTGTTGATGGTGCTGCTGCTGATGATGATGAGGATGATGCTGCAGGTGATGATGGTGGTACTGATCAACAGTCTGCTTATCCACATTACGGACGACCTCTTTGGGCTGGTTTTTAAGGAACTTCTCAAACTTCTTGGAGGCTTTTTTGTTCGTCACAAACCAATCCTGTTGAGATACATGCAGCACGAAGGGGTGCTATTATATAACATACACTAAACTTACATTATTTATTATTTATTGCATTATAGGCCAGAAGGGGGCAGCTCGTCTGTTTGCAAAAAGAAATCTGATTCTGCTGTTGTAAGTCTGAGACATCACTTTATTCATGACTTTAGTAAAAACTTTCCTGATGAGTTTAAACAACTACACTATGGAGCTGCTCATATCCAACCCCTGATATAGAGTATATGCATTCATGGCAATGTCATCTACATATAGTTACAGAAAAAAGGCTCAAGCCAGAAACTTGTGAACTTTTCATTACCTGTGAATGGACAGAGTTGATGTGGTATTTCACTCCACTTTCAGAGTTAAACTCTTTATTGCAGATCAGACATCTGTATTTACCGGCCTCAAAGTCGCCCTGGAATCAGATCAGGAAAAAGCAGCCTTGAAAAGATTATAAGAATTTAATGCAAATAAAGTATTAACTGCGCATAGTGCACTGACTTTTATATTTCACTTAATGGTCTGAGTAACTGACTGAATAATTTTACAAATACACACATTTTCAAAATTCTGTTCAAAGCAGCTTTTACAAACTTCATTCTTTAATTTACAGGAATCATCCCAAAAAATTGAGGAGCTGACTAAAAGCAGATGTAAATGCCGGTCCAGATGAAGCATTAGAAGGGTTTCATGCTAATACATTGATGAGTTTCAACTTAATTATACCTGGTGTCATTTAATGTATTGCTAATCCTAGAAAGTTTGTAAGTTTGTTATTTCCTAAACAAAGAAAAAAAGAGACAAACCCTCGTGCAGAGTCCCAGATGAGCTTTGAGTCCAGACACACTCGTGTAGGTGCAACCGCAACCCTGACGACGACACACATTATGTTATATTATGGGCTTTGAATACTGTGTTAACCATGTTATGGACATCTGCTCCCCTTGACATCATACACATCCACAGGGATTACTTGTACATACACTGACCTCTCTATTTGAAACTTCGGCCATGTTTACTATGAATGTTCACCAATGCAACAGTGTATATATGACATAAAATAAAATATAAAATATCTCCATATATCTCTTTAAAAACATACATTTACAAAGAGAAACATTTCAGGTTATTGAAAAAATAATAATAATAATGGATTTCATTTATATAGCGCTTTTCTAGGCATCCAAAGCGCTTTACAATTCCACTATTCATTCACTCTCACATTCACACACTGGAGGAGGCAGCTACAGTTGTAGCCACAGCTGCCCTGGGGCAGACTGACAGAAGCGAGGCAGCCATATCGCTCCATCGGCCAACAAACACCAGTAGGCAGTAGGGTGAAGTGTCTTGCCCAAGGACACAACGAACAGGCCAGACAGAGCTGGGGATCGAACCGGCAAAGTTATGCTAATTACACTTGTTCTTGACATCTTGATCCAATTACTCAGATAAGAAAATAAATAAGTCTGCTGATTTCTCTTAAACAGGTAAAAATAAGACTTGTTGTTTTCTACCTGGTTGGGGCACTGGACTTTCCTCTGCAGCTTCACCTCATTCTTCCACTTCCTCAGCACCTCCTGGCTGAAAGCAGGGAGGCCGGGTCGGGCATATTTCAACTGAAAAGAGCGTCAGGAGAAAGAAGAAACGTATTTATGTTCAGTACATACTCAATTTTAGTGAATCTTCTCTTACCTTCTTGTCATCTGGTACCAGGTCGGACTGAAACTTCCTCTTGGGCCAGTCTTTGGGCAGTTCATTGTTGGCAATCTCAGCCAGGTGGAAGTTGGCCACCTGGGCCGAGGCTCTCTGCACCCTGCCGCTGGGCGTCCTCTCTGGATTAGCCTCCCTCTGAGCCTTCAGTGCCTCATCTTCCTCAGTCTTCTGTGGGGTCTGGATGAACCAAGAGAATAAACTTAATGGAGATGAGGCACAAAGAGTTTCACAGACACTCGAATTAAAAGGACAGGTGACAAAACAAGGCTGGCATCTTGTCTAATTGTCTATTAATTTAAATTTGAATGAAGAGTATTAACGAATTACAATTTTTATAGTATTTAGTGGCTTCGATGACATATATGACTCACAGGAGCATGCTCTGATTTCAGGTGATACTCCAGACCAGCCTTGGATTTATACGTCTTCCCGCAGTGAGAGCAGTTCAGCAGCATTTTCTCCAGCTCGGACTCCTCCTTTCCACACTTTTTCATGTGATACACGTAGCCCATGATGCTGGTAAATGCAGCGTTACAACCCTATAAAGAAAAAAAACCACATTTTTTCACACCACCAGTTTAATCTTTTATCTTTCATCAAATCTCCTTTCTTAAAACAGCACAATACATGCAAATTTTACCTCTTTGGAACATTTTAATTTGCCCAGTCTCTTCAGGATTTTACGTAGCTTGTCTTTTATAGCACGATCATCCAGGTCCTTGGTATCATCAGCTGAAGGCTACAAAAGCAGGAAAAGGTAGCAACAAACTCAGTAAAACCATAATAAACTAAACTAAGACTGAAAATGCTTATTTCTGAGTAGTCTTACCAAGTGGCTGTGGTCAGCCATGATGTGATACTTCATCCCTGTTGAAGACTTGAGCTGTTTCCCACAGTGTTGGCAGGTAAAAGGTTGCTACAGATAACAGAGTGACACAGTGACTTTTTCATTTGGTAAACATTTACACCAGGAAAGAACACAAGCAGATTTTATGTTATGGAAATATTAGTCAGACTAGGTTTTCCCAGTGCAAATGTAAAGCACAAACCACACTACAGACCCATTCATTTTTTTAAAACTTGATGCCTAATATGAAGAGTGTGTGAACTGGTTTCAGTGCAGAATGTGTTTCATAGAAAATTGACATCCTGGAAAAAATTATAAAAAAAACACACAAAACATAATTTATTTACTCCAATTATTCCAAATAATGTCATTACTAGTAATAACTAATTATTAGAGTCTTCCAGGAGAGACAGTAAAGCAGAAGGCTCCTGCTAGATGGTCCAAAACTCTAATATCACTATTATGCATGAAGGGCTCACCAGTCGGCAGTTCTCCATGTGTTTCTTCAGCCCCTCCACAGTCTTCCTGCTCACACTTTTACACTTTGGACAGGTGACTCTTCCTTTGGCAACGATCTGGAGCTGCCAGCGTTCCTCTTGGCTTCCTAGTTGATGTCAACAAATAGGCAACTTTTCCTTTTTTTTTTAACTTTACACGACGCACAGAGCATCACAAAAAGAAGCAGCTTACTCCTTACCTATTTTAATATACAATAATATTTTGATTAAATTACAGATTATCTTCAGCACCCACTTTTAATCATTCAAATTTAATAAAAGTTTTAGCAACAACTTTTTCAATTTCTTACAATCAGTTTAAATCAAGATAAAATACACCCCCCCCCCCCAGAATCCCCTTTAAAACTCATACTTGTGTGAAGCAAGAAAAATGCAGTCAGATAAAGCCTATTGACAGTTTCAATCAAAGAAGTGCACATAAAACATAGTGTAATAAGATTACTTTCTATTAAATCACATAAACCGGTGGTAAACAGCTGCTGCTCTGACCTGGAGGATAAGTAGGAGGTTCCTTCTTAGCCGGCAGGATTGAAGGTTTCTGGTCTTCGTTCGGCTGAGCTGTTGAGGCCTGACCAGCACTGGCAGCATCTGAACCTGCAAGAGTCACACTGAATGACTGGATGCAATCAAGCTTATTTTTCTTTTTATACTATTTTATCATAATTATTATTTAATAAGGTCAAATTTCCTTATTGATTAGATGCAGAGACTGCTGCCAAAATTTGTCATCTCTCCATTAGCAGCATGTAGAATTTTATATTAAATTACTTTAGAAATAAAAGATAAAAGATACACAGATATATATACAAGTATATACAATGTCTTCTTTTCAATGCATGAATGCTTGTTGGTTGTTGAATTATGATTACAGCATTCCTGCTACAGAAAGCCTGGCTCTTAGAGAAACCTCACGATAAGTTACAATGAGGGGAAAATGCTTCTCTGTAATGATTCTCTGATCAAACAGTGAAACAGTCATTGGCTATGGTGTGCCAGACGCTCTGCCAAAACAAATTAGTGGCTGATAGTACTGCTGCCAAGACTGAAAGGAAGGTGGTGCACTTGAGAAAACGGCCTCATATTGTTTTCCCATAATGGTTAGGGACAAACTGTGAAACAACTTTTCAAATTCCTGATTTATGTCTAACTATAGTTCTGATTTATAAAGTTACTTCAGTCCTAAGTATTATTAATATGGAAATAATATTCAGTTTAAGACAAAAAAGCAGCATGAAACAGATATGTGAGATAGAAATGTAACATATAGAGTTTTCAGTTTTGCATTAAATGCATACTCCTTGAAAACTTACAGGATTCTCTGCCCTCTGGTGGCTGTGTGAAGTTATTGGGTGCGGGGCTTGGCTCCATCTCTGGCCTCTGGACCTTTTTCATGTTCAAGTCTTAAAAATTAGACAAAATCAAAAATCATAACCTAAATGATGACATCTACTCTGCACATATATCGCCTGCACTTCTCTTATAAGCTGTCACTCGCACATGTGTTATAGGTTCTGGTTTTCGCTTGTAGCTTGCAGATATCATGAAAGAAGCTCATATTATTTTACGACATTTCACAGTGTTCAAAACAAAATCAGTCCATATGGTCATTTTTACCAGGTCTCCACACGTTCCCTCTATCCCTGTTTGTGTTGTTCCAGGTTTGATCTGGGCCTCGGCCAGTACCCCACCCTTGTTCCGGCCCTGACGAGTCCCGGTCCCTTCCTGGATCTCTGCCTCCATTCCAGGCCTGATCCTGTCCTTGATCTCTGCTAGCTGCCCAGCCCTGATCAGGACCCCGCTCCCGGCCTGTCATCCAGGACTGATCCGGCCCACACTGAGTTCTGTCCCTGCCTGGAATCCATATCTGGTCCTGACTGGAGTGTCCCCCTCTGTCTCTGCCAGAGTTCCACACCTGGTCCTGGGGTCGGTCTCTGCCTGGAGCCCAGGCGTCAGGTCCTTGCTCCCTGCTGGAGTTCCAGCTCTGATCATGAGGCTGGGACTGCTCCCCGCTAGCTTCTGGGCCTTGAGGCCAAACATCCTTCGCGACCAGTCTTGGAGGGAGCCTTGCAGTGGGCGGACCGATGGACCCTGGGTCTGACCCATTGGCCAGGCCATCTGATGACATCACAGAACAGCTGGTTGTCGAGTAATCTACTGTTCCCAGGGAAACACTCTGGAGGTCCTCATACCTAATAAAAGAAAAAAAAAACTTAAATTAAAAGTTTCTAAAATGCTGATGCAGACAGGAACCTCATTTGGTCCTGAACAGATTATTTAACTGTAGTGTGGGTCAGAGGGTGTAAATAAAAGATGAGACTGAAAAGAAGAAGGGTAGCCCTAAAACAAACACTGTTATGTTGTTTGTTTGACTAATTATGTGTATAGTTTACAAAATAAACATGAAATTACATCAAGTAAGAGTTAGAAATGAAAATGTTAACTGAGGTCATAACTCAAGTGAGACACAGTTATATGAGTAAATGAAAAAGAAATAAGATTTATGTCAAGCAGTAGCTTAGAAATTAAGTGTTTTTGCCAACATTTGTATGAGCCCATCACTTACTTATGGCCTTTTTTAATCAAAAAACACAACAGAGTTATTCCAAAATACAGATTTCAAAACTCATGTGTGATGTCATGGTGATTTCGATATGACCAAAATCTTATATCTCAATACTGATATAAGTCATTTTTTTATCCCGATAAAGATATATAACAATATAGTGGATTTTCTGTAATCACTACATCAAAAGTACTAATGGTCATTAGAAACTACCCTGTCTGTAAACATCGAGTGTCCAGTCTCATAAAGTGCACCGTTAAACTCATACAGACATGCATGGTTCAACTCGTCCACGTATCTGTTGTTGCAGTGTTGTATGCTACGTTCTGGATTTCCTGCAATACTTTGGACTCATGATAAATGAGGCAAATATACTTGTTTTTGGCTGAGAGTTGCGTACCTGGAGTCAAGTGTTTTGACCAACACATGAAACCATAACTTTACTATATATTAATAGATATTGTGAGTCTTTATTATATAGCGTGCCATGTGGAAAAACCTGTTGTAACATTTGAGAGTGAGGTCTATTTTGAGCACCTGACAGCTTGTTTTTTTCTTCTCATTTGTAAAATCTTTCGACCAGTTTGCTTCATAACCGGCACATTACAGTTTTCTACACCGTGTCAGGCTTTTCATAACCGAGTCATGTCCATGACACAGAGGTAGCCCCTTATTTAAGAAAACAAATAAGAATAACTTAGATATCATTTATGTGTCTGACACAGCTCATTTGCAATGATTTTCTTGTTATGATGAAATAAGTTCTTCGATTAGTTTTGGCTGGTCCTTCTGTGGTGCCTCAGTGACTACTACAAACTGTCATCTGAAGCAATGAAAAATTGCAGTAAACAGTGTGTTTTTGTAGGGAAATCGTAAGTACAGTGAATTGTCATTGGCGATATGACCCAAAAAAATCATATCTCGATATTTTTTAGCTGGATGGCGATATACGATATATATCTCGATATTTTTTTAAAGCCATAAAGTAAGAACAAAAAGAGAGTTCTTAGTCAAAGCTGTGTCCCAGATGTCACACAGGCACTTTTATTAACATACAGCTAGATGTACATGAAAAATTTACTCAAAAATAAATTATAGCATTTATTAAATAATAATGCTCCATAAATAAAAGAAAACAATGTTGTTTTTGTGCATAACAAAAAGCTCACAATTGTGCAGTCAAAATGTAAACTAAAAGACGCTGAGCATAATAACAAAGACAGATTTCACAGCTGCTCTGTTCCCAACTTCTACTGCGTGACTGACAGCCTGGAGTTTGAAATCCGCTTCGTAACCATGTCTCTTAACAGGTGCCATTTATGGTCCTTATACACACACAATACGGTAATATTACGTTGAAGCACAGTACGTATCACTCCGCGAGGCTCCTCGGTAGCCGTAATGCTCCGACAATCCATCAAGCTGCAGCTCCGTAGCTTACCAAAGTTGTACTAAAACATTTTTTGACAGATTGCTGAGCACCGTGTAGCACATAAAATCGGTTCGCGGTCAATAAGCACAACCAGAATTCATACATAAGGCGCACTGTCGATTTTTGAGAAAATGAAAGGATTTTAGGTCCGTGCAGCCCCTCTGGGCTGCATGTTAGGCGTTAGCGTTAGCGCGTTAGCGTGTTAGCGGTTAGCTCGCTAACACTTGACGCCGTCCAGCCCCACGCACGGTCTCGGCTAAATCGTTAACGAGATTTGCCGTGTTCATCTTGTCATTGCCTGCAGGTGAAGCTATGGGGGGGAGGGGGAGTTGTGTTCAGTGAAAGAGAGGCGAGGCCGAGTAACGTTGCGTAGAGACAAAAGTGGACGAAAGAGAGGCAAACTTGCGGCTCCACAAGTATAATTATAACGTAACAGACTATATCGATATAAACAATATTGTCACATCTTATATCTCGTATGAAAATATATCGATATTTTTAAAAAACTCGATATAGCCCTATGTTTTTGCAACAACACAAAATAAATGAAGAGTACAACATGAAACAATATACGTGTTAATGTCACGATTTTGTCATATCGCACAGCCCTAGTGGCTACATCCAATCTGATCCCCCTTCAGGCCATTATAAAGAATACAGGTGCAAGCAACTTCACCTTTTGCGTCAATATTTAGGTTCATCTTTTATATACAGTTGCTATACTGCACAATATGAACAGAATGCAGCTAAATAAATGATGAACTATTTGTTTATTAATATAATACAAACATATATGCTTTTGAGCAGCACTTAAAAAAGCACTTTGCACATAAATTCTGTAGCAAATTGAATTTAATTAATTAATTAAACAAAGTTTAAACAGCCAAAACCAAGAAGGAGCACAACAGTGGAGCCGGGTTTTATGATTCTTTTAGATCTAATCTTATTTTATTTTCATTAATCACTCATTAATGATGGGTGTTCCCATTTGTTTAGTTTTTCAGTGCAAAGAAAAAATAAAGACCCAGGTCATTTTTTGTCTTTCTTTTTTCTCTCTTTTATCATTTCCCATTTATACTCACATATCCTCTCACACCCTTCGCTTCCTGAGCTTGTGTATTTCCTCCTGCCAGAGTGATTACTTGCTCTTTAATCTGCCACCTTTATCTTGCGTCCTTCCTTCACTGTGTCTGCCACTCTCTATGTACCAGACTCTGTCCTTTCACTTCTTGCTGTAAGATGTTTTTCACTCTGTTTATTCTGTGTAACAAATTTTTTTGCAAAGCAAAGACTTCCTTTTTTGTTCTTGAACTTCCTTGCCCTGTGCTTTGCTTTTGAAGCCTTAAATTAACGCCATATTCAAAACTGAATGATCCATAGCTCATTCTACCTGAACCTATACCAGCCATTTGGTTAATATCTGCATGTGGATAAGCAGCAAGTGCAAACGCTGAATTTCCTCATCTCATTAGGAAGTTTATCCTAACTGTACCTTTTATCATGTAGGAAATCTCAACAAAAGAATGCTGTATGGAGATTTTTAAAAGGCATTGCACTTATCAACAATGATGTATTTTACTGAAACCTGTGTACTTGTTTAGATCTGTTTACTGTGAATGACTTATATAAGAGTACAATGTAAAATCACCAGGTTAACCAGCCTCTTACCTTTTCCTACTGTAAGTTCTCTTCATCTTTACTCCGTCTTCAGTTTGGGACTCATCCTCCTAAAACAGTCGATGAGAAAACTGTGAAGCAGAGATCCAGCTGTGCGCATGAAGTTAACTGATTTTTTATTACCACACTTGAAAATGGAAACACAGTCACAGCGTTCATGCTAGCAGGACTGCCTGCTCCTTACATACACTATCTCAGAAACAATAAAAGACGTAGGTTTTTACATTAGATGTGTATTCTTACCTCTGAGTACCCAACTGTATTTACTTCACAGGCTCTTTCTGGCATTCGCTGGACAGCAGCTTTAAAAGTGAAATTGTATTAAAAAAGACACAATTAAAAAGATGAAATTACAAATCAAAATCAAATCAAATCACTTTTATTGTCACATCACATGTGCAGGTACATTGGTACAGCACATGTGAGTGAAATTCTTGTGTGCGAGCTTCACAAGCAACAGAGTTGTGCAAAATACAATAATGTAAACAAGCAAAATACAAGAATGGCTACATCTGAAACTAATAAATATATGTACAATATATAATAGTATATGCATTTCTGGATGTGTATACTAAATATTTTTCTACGTGTGTGTGTGTGTACACATATTTTACAAATTAAATAGAGTAAACAATAAATAAAATATATAAAAATATACAGAGTTGAGACATGTGCAAAACAGTGGCATTACTGTAAAGTATGGAGTGCATAATGTTAAAGTTCCAGTAGTAGTAAATTACCAAGTTTTACCAGTGTAAATGGCCACAGTGATGGATGCACGCTGCTGTGTGATGTGTTTTTTTTACCTGGACATTGCACTCCACTTTTTGAAAGTGAGTGAACAGGCTTCCTCTTTCTTGGCATATACAAAGGTGACATATCCCCTCCGATGTGGCCGGGGTCCATACTAGGAGGGCCAACTCTGCTCAGAAATCACCACTGACAGCATAGAAAAAAACAGAACATCTAATAAAACAGAAAACAGATACCTCTACCAAAATAGCACACGTTATTGAAATACCTTAATTTGGATATATTGTATTTGTTTCAGGATGGGATTACATGCTGGCTTTCTAATTACATCAAAAGTAATTACACAGCCTTAAACTGATTGGAGAACTGTAATGGATCACTGGCCTTATTAATTACACGATCAAATATTTACAGAGCCCTACTTATTAAATGACCTCAGCTTGTTACATATAAAGTAGGTTGGGTTGGTCAACCAAGTACATCTGTTGGCTCATTTAACCATTTCACCATTAACCAGCTACACTCCACCCTTTCCATTTTGTGATCCCCTACAGTTATGGGCAGCTTTCTGTTGTGATGTCTTCAGTATCATTTAGCTGTAGACTCTCTACTGGCTACCACAGCTGACAACAGTAGTTTTTGCTGTGTTTTGGAGATCTGCTGTGAGTTGGATGATCTATCTAAGGAGATGAAAAACTGCCCCGTGTGCCGTCGCAACATGCAGACTGTGGAATCCGAGTCCATCTCAGACAGGCAGCTAATTAAATTATTTTGCTAGGGTTATTAGACCATTTGCAGAAAAGCACCAAATAAAATGTGTAATTCAACAACTAATTTAAGAATATATATTTAAAAGATATGCAGTTAGTGGGAATGCATTAAGTGGAAACTCTAAATTGCTCATAGGTGTGAATGTGAGTTCAAATGGTTGTCTGTGGCTATGTGTTAGCCTTGTGAAAGACTGGTGACCTGTTCAGGGTGTACCCTGCCCCTCGCCCTAGGCCCTCCAACCCCCCTTTTAGAAATTCTCAGAAACTCAGATGTTTTAAATTTGGCCAGAGTTGCTCAAATATAAACAAATTTGATGATGTGCTTGAATTTGTAGTTTTGTATTTACAAACATCCATCCATCCATCGCTGCGGATGAATTATTTACAAACATCTGGAATTATATTAACAAATCCTCCAATACCAATAACATCTGTGAGCTATTGCAGACATTGTGGATCAATAACTTATAAAAACATTACTATGCTGGCACGAGGTCATCCTGGGTTTATTACCAAGCTGTGATAAATGACACTGCTCAAAGGATTAAGGGAACGCTGGATCATCACAGTTTAATACAAACACATTTTAACTTCAGGGATATTAATGTGTCCAGTTAAGAAGCATAAATCATTTCACCTGGTTTGGTGCAAATGAAAGTGTCAGCAGGTGCAGCGGAGAGGCAACGAGACAATTCCCCAAAAAGGCAAGACCAATGCTCTCTTTTTATCCCTGCTGACTGATTTTTCTCTAGTTCTGCTTTTGTTAGAGTGTAAAAGGATTCACACTGGTCTAACTGGACACACTGATATCCTGAAGCTTCAGTGACTCTATTATATTGTTATGATCGAGTATTTCCTTAACTATCCTCAGCAGCGTAATCTAGAATTTAACAAAAATGAAAACAAACGGGCACGGGGTTAGAATCATTTAATTTTTCTTTCCATCCAGCTTCTGCTATTTAACCAATTGAAGGTAGCGGAGGCAGGAGCTTATCACTTATTCAGCTGCAAGAGGCGGGATGCACCCTGGATAGGTTGCCAGTGTTTCATGGCTAACACAAAAAAACAGACAATCACTCACACCTGAGGCCAGTTCAGAATCACCAGTTAACCTAACATGCATTATAAGTGTGATAGAAAGGCAGAGCACCCAGAGAGGCAAACTCCACACAGAAATACCCGACAGTGGATTCAAACCTTTCTGTTGTGAGGCAACAGAACTAACCACTGAACCACTGTGCTGCCTTATTTTTATTTAATTTTCTCGTTTAAGTAAGTTTTCTTTAGTTTCCAAAGAGGGTTTGCTTAGATTAGTGTTAAAAATGTTTCGTTTTAATTTAATTTGTTACTTTCAGTGCTCCATTTAATGTTTTTGCAATTCGGTTTTTAGGAAGTGAAGATCAAATATCACAACAAAAGTACCTTCTGCATGTAGCTCACTCAGATCCAGCATGTCCTGCACAATTTTTACTTTACTTTAGCTTTATGTTCTTTTTTCCTCCCAAATTCTAATTTTAATCTTTTTTTTAGATTAACTAAAACATTTGTGCGCCTAGTTTATAATAATTTTTTAAACAAATACCTGCATTTGTTTACATTTTTTAAACAAATGCAGGTTGACTTGAGAAAAGTGTTGTTGTGATTTGGCCCAATATAAATAAAATTGAATTAAATTTAAAAAGCTGATTACAGTTATTATAATTAACTGAATCAAAGAGATCATACGTTATGTTTAAGACATTCATTCAAAACTAAGTCTCCTTTTTCTTAAAAATTTGTCTAGTAAACAAAACAAATATTTGCTGACATGAACTTAATGAGTCTTGCATAAGCAGCCATGCATATCAGCCTATTTACTCCCATTAGGGTTCGTTTAGCCAAATATTTACTCTCCTAGCCCCTTTCAATCATGCACTCTTTATATTTTTAACACTAAAATTCACACTTAGTATTGAATTATTATTTTAAATGCACACTGAAGTGATTACATTAATCATAATTATGCAGAGGAGACTTTTTTTAAAGAACCTGATGAATCTGGCTTCAGCACCCGTTGTGTTTACAGTGCGTGTGTTCATCCTGAATGTTATTTGTATAGTGCTTAAATATTTATGTGTCACGTTTGAGGACACTGGATGCCAGAAACTGTGATATGAAATAAAGCCAGAAAACTGTTAAAACGTCAAGTGTGTGATGTTTTTCTCGGTCCAGTAAACCTCTGAGACCAGCCATTCCCGGACTGAGCCAAAAAGACTTGCAGCCACCACCATCATTGTCTGTGTGGATAAGGAAAAAACTCAAAAATTGGCTTTTTCACGACGACGGGCAGAAAAAAACATCCGAAAGCTGAAACTGAAGGAGAACTGGTGGTAGAAAGGTTTCAAGCTCCCCTCCCTCTAAGCAGAGGTACTATAACCTGTCCTGTCTGCCTTTCATTGTTTCTTAGCGGAGGAAGAAATGCAAGAGAGAGAGACAGAGAGAGCGCCTACCGTCCTACAGCTCACTCCCTCTGCAAGGACGGCTAGCCTCCATGTCTTCGGGCCTGGCCTCCTCTGTCGCCTTTCCCCCGGCAGTGTTACCACCAGGAAGGCTAACATCAAGGAAGGCCCGGGGTTCAAAAACACAGACCCTGGGATAACAGCTAAGCTGTGGCAGCATCTAAATATGAATCAGTGCGCACGTACGCCGGCATAATTCACCACAGTGTGTTCGTATGTTCTTCAGCGGAACGCCCTCCTGCTGGAGAGAACAAATAAGACCCGCATCTGCCGCTGCCTTCAGGGGCCGTGGGAAACACCGCAATTTCAGCGCTTCAGCTGTGGAATCTGAATCAATAGTACGCCTCGGAATAATACAAAGCCGTTACCACATAGTCTCTGATTATGAACCTGTTATCAAGTGGAAAAGCACTTAGTAAATGGTTTTTAAAATGTTGCATGAAGAATTGGGAGTAATGTTCCAAACTGAAAATGGAGAGAAGGAGACTACTGATACTTTTTTTCTCTTCCTAATTCGTAGAACTCCCCTCCTCCGTATTATTACTTTTTACTTGTATAATATGGCACTTTTGAAAGATTGATTGAATGTTCAAATTCTACTAAATTGAACACTTTGAAAATCTGTGACATGTTCCTCTTATTTGAGTTTATTAAATTGAGTATTTTTGATTAATTTTAACTAAGCACCTAACATTAGGTAAGCAACTCTTGAAAGTGTAATCCCATTAGCTTTTTGTGACTCACAAGATGATTCGATTTCAATTAAAATAACAATAATAATAATAGGTTTAATTCAGGTAGCTTACTTAAAAACTTTACATTTTTACTTGTTATTTTCTGGCAACGTAATAGCCATTTCGTTCATATCCAAGGTTTTGATTATTGTTTCTAAAAATTGTTGGACTAGGAAACTGTAATTGAAATTAAATTGTCACTGTTTGCTTAGCCCTACTAGTAACTTCAGTCAAGTTTTTTTTCTGTCATTGTTACATAGTTTTTTTTGTTTGTTTTTTCATTTTACCTCTTCAGACCCTGTGTCTTCATGTAGGCACATTACATTTTAGCTTTTCTTCAACTTATACTTCATTCTGCTCATTAGTATTTTATACTTAATTTATTGTTTTATGTTGCAAAATAAACCAATAATTCCTATATGAGGAATTAAAAAGTAATGACTCTCCTAAAATGAAGCTTATATATTGCACACATTGCCAGACTGAGAAAATCTCTGTTTAGCTTATTTTTTCCACACTTGCACACACTTACAAATAAAGTTATTTACCACTGAAACATTAATAAATAAATACATTTATTAATCAGCTTATAATCCAGTTAAGAAATGTAAGGTAAGTATGAGGAGAACCAACATAGTGGGGTGTGCGTAATTATTCAGCCCCCTTTGGTCTGAGTGCAGTCAGT